CCTCCCTCCCTCCCTCCGCGCCTGCACGACAGGTGACCTTCACCCGGACAACAATGCTGCCTACTTGGTGGCTTCCATTTACATCCCATTCGCCGTCTTCGCCGTCGGGAACTTCGTCTCCACGGTCGCCGAGTACTACGTAAGCACACAAATCCTCACCTTCCTCCCTCCCTCCCTCTCCTCTGCCTTCCATTCCTGCCTCGTCACACCCAACCACTGACGTGGAGAAATACCTTAGGCTGTCTCTCTTCACCCCCCTTTCTCCCCCACGTCTTTTCTTCTTTTCTTCCTCTCCTAATCGTACCAGATGCAAAAAAGCGAAAGGAAACGACGCGCGGAGATCCTGAACCGGAAATATGCATTCGAAGAGCTGTTGGCCATGGACGAGAACAACGACGGGAGCGTGGATATCATGGAGTTTACGATCTACTTGTTGAAGCTGTGGTAGGGTGGGAAGGGAGGCAGTACTAGATAGGAGGAGGAACGAGGCAAGCATGATCGATGACGTTGTTCGATGCAATTCAGAGGACAGAAGCGGGGGGGAACTGGACAAAAATGCCCGAAGAGGGAGGCGTCAGAATATCTCATGCAAGGCGTCTCCCCCTCCTCTCTTCTACCCCTCCTTCCTTCCTCCCTCCCAACCAGGGGCATGGTAGATGACGACATTCTCGAGGCCATCAACGCCCGGTAAGATCTCTTTTTCTGTGCAATTTTTGGTCTGAGGGTCACTTCAATGACCCTGGGTGCATATCATCTCCCAATTTGACATCGCTCCTCCTTCCGCCGTCCTGGCCATCGCTAGCTTTTCCCTCCCTGTTGCTTCTCCTATCTTTGTACTTCACTGCCCGCATGTGTTCTTCCTCCCTCTTTCAGGACTTGACATCCTTCCCCCCAGAATCGTCTCTTTCTCTTTTCTCTTATCCATCTTTCCCTCCTTCTCCCCCTCTCTTAATCAGTTTCCGCGAGCTCGACACCGACGGTTCGGGAGAGCTGACAAAAGAAGATTTCATAGAAGCCGTGTCAGATCCAGAGCGACGAGCCATGCTCCGCGCCTTGAGTCGATCGGCAGGGAGTCAGAGAAGTACTCCGAAATCGTAGGGCTAGGATCCTCATCTTGTCAATGTTTGCCGTACCACGAGGAGTGCTGCGAAACACATGGAAGAAAATGTGTGTTTCTTATTGAAATAAGTGGAAGATAAGGTCTCTGTCTAAACATCGACGTACAAAATGACTCTGCGAATTCACAGAGGAAAACGCAAATGACGAGGTGTCCAGCAACATCTCACATTTACTCGCAAACTATAAATACTCGATTGATTCCCACACGCCCTTGCTCTCGTACATCTCCGATCCATGTGCAAAAAGATGCTCCGCTCAAGAAACAAGAAATTCGTACTCTTGCTTCCTTTTAAGCCTACTTGTCTGGAACTGTCGTTGACTTCTTGAACAGCCGTGCGTAAGGATTGGAACAAACAAACAGCAGCGCCCGCACCTACTTTTGTAGAGAGAATGCAAGTAATATATATCAAAACCAATATGAAATGCCCATATGATCTAAGTAAGCTTTGGGGACCTCTGATGTGTCACTTTCTTTTAGGGTTATTTTTGTTTGATGTGATATGATAGCGACGAGCTGATGCTTCCTGACACATGATGGAATCTTCATAACTGGGATGTCGCTCAGAACTCCGTCTTTTGCCGTCAACTTCCTTGCGTCAAAATTATATGCTCTGTAGACAGTACAGTCTTAGTCACACCTCCCCAGAATACTTTGTTGAAGGCAGCTTGCATGTGACAAGCACCCCCAATATTTGGATATGGTTCTTACGGAAAGCACACAGAATAGAAAAGAAGTGGTGTGGGACGAAAAGCACGTAAAAAAGATGGCATCGATAAATAACATTGAACAATAGGTATCCGGACTAAATTGGAAACAATGAATGATGGAGGAGGAATGAGGTGATCAAAATTGCAAAGATAGTGCGCCACCCATCTCTCAACTCCTAGAAGAATGGAAAAGAAAAGTTAAGAAGAAGACATCCATGTAGGGCGCATTTATTATGGATACTTTGAACGCACGTAACCTTTTCTTGCAATTTGTCGTAAACCCTTTGCACGCACTATGAAAGCATTCGAAGGCACTTGTCGTTATAACGACTTTCAATCATCACAATCAATTGTAAAAGCAAAATTTATCTTCACTCTGAACACTCTCAGGACCCTAAAGTATAACATCCCCTGAAATTTGCTAGACCTCAGACTTTGAGATGGAATTAGTCATTTTTTTTCAAATTGACCCGATATTCTCCGGGCAGCCCGAACCGTTACATCGAGCCGTTCCATTTGGAGCTAGATCGATTGCGAGCACGACAGGTGCTGAATATTTACCTGCCATTTTCCCCGTAGTTTTGGGATCATTGTAGTATTAGGAGCGAGTATGAGACAATACTTAAGATATTGGCAGCCGACATATGCCTTTTATTTTACATCTGTTACGAGGAATGTGAAGCAAGACTCTGATGCTATCGTCCTTGGCTTGATGATTGTTTCGGGTGCCTCGATACAAGCTTAACCCGTTCATTCCGAGCTTTCCCGGATTGTGTTCTTGACAGAAGAACTTACTACTCACACAACCACATATCGGAGATAGATGCCATGACGAGCACGGGCGAGGAGAGTGGCCAGGGGCGCCGAGCCTTGGAGTCAACGCCCCAGCAGCCGCCGTCGACCGATGCACCCCCTCCAATCAGTATTGGCATTGCAACGACTCATAACGTGGAAGAACAAGGCGCACAAGGAGGACGGGCAAGAGATGGACAAGAAAATAGGAGCGCACAAGGAGGACGGGCAAGAGATGGACAAGAAAATAGGAGAAGTATGAGGGCGAGCGGCTCCCACTCTCCATTGCGCTACGACCCATCTAACGCCCAGGCATCACTTTCCTCTGCCCTCCCTGGACCAAATTTGTTGAAGAGAACTACTTCAGAGTCTGTCTGGTCCCAGCTCCGGAGTGGCCATTTGCAGAACGTCATGGCCGGCCCTGCCCGATTGAACCTGATAAATCAACAAACCTATCGTCGATCCTCCGGTAATCGACGATACATCTCCATTCTTTCTTGTGATACTTTTGATTGTTCGCATTAAAAATGCTGGAAGGGACCGTGACATCTTCACACGGACACCCTCCGAAGCTTGTGCCTTTACTCTAGCAAATCCTCAACATATTTCTGCCTTCCATAGGAGTCAACAATTTCTTTGTCAGCGTCTCACTTTCACATTCTATGATCTATGTCTTTGTCCTATGCTTTTGAAAAAATAATGACCAAAATATCTGCTCCTCGTTTATTCTATCCTCCTTTTTCCCCTCAGTGCCTCGTCCAGACCATGGCGCGGCCTTTTCGTTGCTTTCCTCAACCCCCCCTCATAGTCCTCGGCCGTCCCTTTTCCAGTCCCAGCTCTGGACTGACGGTGCTCCAAGCGTGAAGTCGGGACAAAAGAGTCCAGTCAAGCGTGTTCGGGTGGCATCACCCCGGGCCGACGGCAAAGGGAGCAAGGCGGTGCGGGAAGAGAAGGAAAGAAGGGACGTAGATGAAGAAAAACGTATAAATTTGAAGCCTATAATACATAATTTGGAAGATCCTGAACCAAGTCAGGTAAAAAACATGAGGGTAAAAAGGAGAAGGGGCTGAGGGCGGTAAGATAGATATCTCAGCAGCAGCAGCGTGTACATCACCAAGGCTCATGTCCCTTCTGAGACAATTTTCTCTTTCTTTCTTCACACCTATTCTTCTCGTGGATACCTTAGCCCCCTACCATTGCACACTACCATCGCTCCATCATACGAGAAGCGTACGAGGAGGAAGGCCGCAAGGTAGGAAAAAATCTGAAGAGGGTGGGCCGAAGGGAGGGGAGGCGAGGTTGAAAAGTAGTAGCCTTGTCTAGCAAGTGATCCACGCAGCAG